ACACCTATTTTTAGTACCTCCCACATTCAAGCAACTCACAATATGCACAACTCAACTGCCATAGAATTACGTTAATTAACTACAGTGGTACCATTTTTTTTATACAGAATATTTATTAATGATTTATCATATACACACATAGGCACCTAGGGCACTACTCCTTTCTCCAAGGCAATATCCGGACGTTACTTAAGCACACAGCAGCCTAAGTGTTTAGCATCGTATTTAAGCACACAGCGGTCTATGGTCATACCTAGGTGTATAGACAGATATGTTGAGTTTAACGATTGATACGAAAAACAGTCCAGATTCCAGGCTATCACGCTGCCGTGTCAATACCGAAAAGCTCCGACATTTCCCCTGATAGAGGAAACCGAGCAGCAAGGAACATATGAGCCAGTTAATTTCCCTATCCTTATCGGCAATTATTGAGCCCATGAGCCATTAATGGAAATATAGATATATTGTCAAAACATCCTTATGAATACGGCTTACGGCATTCATGATCATGAATATAGAAGTATTGAATGAAATCTCAGTGCTTGCTCACATGTCAGGTACATACAGAAAGAGTGATTCTGTTTCAAGAACAACTATCTTCAATTGAGGACCGTGACTTCGGTATGCTTCTATGACATACGAGTATATCTTTGAATTAAGGTCAAGTTCCTATTTGTAAATGCTACGTTTCTTTAAAACAACGAAATTACCTCATTTGAAGTATATGTGATATCAAATCAATATCATAATTTCATAGAAACTCATGTTCTTGAATCATTAGCACACTTTTTGTGTGCAACCAAAACACTAACACCAATAACACAGTGACACTGTAATTAGGTATACAACGCGCACTACGTACTTGATTTTAGAAGCGACTGTTATACCCATTTATACGTAAATGACGCCAGTGAAAGCTTACCCTATAACATAAACATGCCTAAGGGCGGTCGTGCAGACACTAACCAGACTTGTGAGCCCTCTAGTAGGAATTCGGGTGCTACAGGATTGAGTTCGCATGCAAAAATGTGTTTGAAATATTCCGTATGCTTGCATATATAATGATAGAACATGCCCTTTTTAACAATCGTAAAAATCTGGCACTTTCCTAAGTAGACTACCCAATCAGAAATCACCACAGCCTGCAAAATAAAGGTTTCTGTCATCGCACTGCTGAAAAATGTTTGTATTGAACATCCGATACACGAAGCTAAGGCTACTTTTGGAATATTATGAGTCCGAGTAGCGATAACATGGTGTGGCGTGGTATTCACCTTATAAGAAACTGCGGTGGAGAAATTTATAGAACTGATCTTATCACGGACATCGTAAATATCATTAGGCGATTATTAATCATGTTTTATCGATGGATTTCTCTTTATTTTCCAATTTGAGGATAATAAGCTTCATGTAATAAATTTCCGAAACACAGATCGCATATCTTGAGGCGAAGAGATACCTGCACAGCACCTGAAGCATGAATTTGGTTATTAAAATTTTTAAGGACAGATATTTCAAGAAAATGGAGGGTGCAGAATCCGTCAGTGAACATGATACCATACAAGGTTGTATAATAATAATAATAGACCGTCTTTATTGATTTTCATAAACATAGGAATTACGATATAAAAAAACAATACAATGCTAGTGGCGAAGTCTAGCTAATTGCTATTATACCTAACGACTGGAGGGCAGCCCCCAAATAAGTACGCAATTACACTATGATTAAACCAAAGGATCGCTGAAGTAGACAAATCAATATGTGGTAAATTTTCCAAAAGGTGTTGAGCAACGCAGGCATTCGCAAAGAAACATACATGTAGTTTTTTTACTGCTCTCTGTCAGACCTAAGCACTTTTGAAATCTAACTATAACTTCCTATAAATAACAATTAAGGAATTAGAAACAGCTCAATTTAAAAATTACTATTGTTATAAACCGTTAAAATGCGTGAATTAACAAGAATATCAGGAATTTCAGTAACTAGGATGCTCCGAAAGTAGGTAGTTCCGACGGGTCCCCACTCGAACCGCCTGGATGCTGGTTCCTGGGTCCATATTAAGCTGTCTTCCCCCGTCGATGCACCGAAAGGGTCTCGACCTGATTTTCTGTTGATAAACAAAACGCATACCACATGTAATCAACTTCAAAGCAATAAACCCATAAATGCATTGTCGCTGTTGAGGGGGTCGATAACACTATTATTGGTCCTACTACATATTAAATAACATTTTAACTTGAAATTGAACTTGTTCACGTTTAGAAGCTTGAGTTCTTGTGGAAGATGATTATTATACATCCTAATCACATTACATATTAGCTGTGTAGTTCAATTTTGATCTAATATTTAAGACAGTATCGTAAGTCGCTTCTACAATTGTAGGATGCCCTGATGGCCTGGTTGTATTCATAGTGTTTTGTTGTTCACAAAGTCTGGGTATTTCTTGATTTCTACTGTTTCGTCAGGCCATGTCTTACTTTTGAATTGTAGGCACTTTCAGGCTAATATAATAGATTATATAAATCAAAAGCATGAACAATTTGATGAAGTAAATTATTCCTAACATCACCTCAAAATAGAGCGCTGCCACGGAACAGTAGAAAACTATGAAAATCAAGGAGGCCATAAAGGCGTCCTACAATAATTAAGGAACAACTGGCGATCCGACCCTGAGATGATGAGCATCTTTGTGAGGTATGAAATGTTTAATCAGACCTGGAGGATTTGAATTGTTGACCAATTTATGCGTACATCAATATCGGCATATGCGATCGTGGTCTCTAAAATCCGACATCTTTAGATTTTTTTATCACCAGCATTTATGATTGTCATTCGTCTGTTCCCCAATCTGCAGCCACGTTGTTATAAATATCACATTCGACTACTGACACAAACCAAACAAATAAAAGCTCCAGTACACATGTTGGAATTTGAACCAACATAGTTTCGTATTATAGTCCAGTAGAGAATATGTGGGAAAGAGACTCATAGTAGGTTCCAATAGTTTTGTACGTATTCTCCAAAAATATGTCCAGCCCATTGTTGTATTCAACGTTCACATGCAATTTCTATCGTCACAGCAGTGTTGCCCAAAAGGGTGATATTAATTTTCTTAAAGGTAAGACAGGCAGGCTCCATTTTCCATGTCTAGAAAATTATTCATTCTTAAAAATCACACCAGCCTTTCAAGGAAAGATCACTTCTTATTTTCCCTTGTGATTATCTCCAAGATTTCGTATTCTCAGAATTCCTTAACGGCGAAAAGGGAAACCGCATAACCTGCAGATCCAGGGTGTGGCGACCTGTGTTGTAAGATCTACCGTTCTCGCTCCCACGTCTACAGGCGACGAAGTATTGTAAACGTGAAACATTCCTAAAATGAGGTATTATTTTCTTCGGATGTTATATGAAATGTACATCACGAAAAACCATGTCACTCATGTCCATCTGTCGGTTTGTCTGCCTGTCTGTCCGCTAATATTATAAAATGCTGAGTATGACAACATTGATAATTACAAACTAATTTCTATTCCTAGGGTCGACCGATTTCAAAAAACTACAAAGTTTTTTTGTCCTTGGCATAGTAGTAACCTCATGTGAAAATCTAATTTAAAAAGTTATAGACGGGCCAATATGGGTACAGCAAGTGCTCATTTGAGTATTTCAGGAAAGTAGCCGGAAAAAATGGATTCATTAAACCAGTTGTTTAACAATATCCTCTATAAAAAAGCTAATTAGGTTAAATTTTAATCCAAGCCTGATCTGTTTTTGTTTTTGAGTTTATTCGTAGTTCTTGTCAACAGTTATTGGGTAAAAAATTGGCCGCTGATCAAGCACATTAGTTGTACAGGGCAAGGAAATGTTGGATCCAAGATAGAATTGAAGTTAGAAGCATGCGTGAATATGTTTGGTTTTAGTTTCTTTTTTTTGATACATGGGCTATAGGCGATATGGTATCAAAACGGGTGTCAAAAGAGCTCCCAGTCGACTGGATTATGAAGTATAAACATATTTTTTGTGTAGAGTGAAGAACCGGCAACGCATGTGTTTCTTAGAACACACATGGTACGCAAACCGGCCATATTCCTTTCAGTGAGCGAAATAAAACAATGTACCACTCTGTCAATGACAATGAGCACCATTGTGTCACATCAAGTAAATGGGTGTCAGGATAGTGAGGCTTTCAGTCTCAACGTAATCACTGGAATACAGAGTGTTTTATACACTGGGTGTCCAACAGCAAGTTGGCAAAGTCTCTGATATGTAGGGATTCGCTTAAACGAAGATAAAGTTGCACATTTAGGTAACTAACTATGCGATGCCGCTCAGAAAGTTTCTAAATACAAAGTACTTCCAGATAGAGATGGAGAAAACTGAATTGTCACAAAATCGTTAAATTTTTTTTCTGATTTTAATTATGGTTGGATTTAAAAATAAATTACACATTAACATTGCCACCTTTTTCTTTTACAACACGGCATAATCAGAAATTCAATAGGTCTGTTGAATAAAAAAAGGTATTAAGCAGTGAATAAAAAGTCAGTAACTACTTCATAAAGAAGAGTCTGCTCATAGTATTAAGTAAACTCATCCAGTTTCAAGTAATTACTTGAAACAAGACTTCACTTAGGGTTCTCCAGTACTTCCTTCTTTTTAGTTGAATAAAAAGGAGAATAACTTAAAATCAGTAAGAATCAACTTAATATTTATAAAGGTATCTCCAACGCATAGTTTTATCAGAGAATTTTAATAATAGCAAACCTAATAAATGTGTTATTTATCCATTATTTTGTCACTTAATTGGTACGGTGAATTTTTGTGTAATACCACAATATGCTCTATTTATGATAATATTGAAATAAATAACAAGTTTCTGTAGCTTTATTATTTAATTTAATGAATCCTTGAATACAAAATCCAAAAAAAATTGTTGAAATAAGAATGAAATACATATTTGTATATTAAAAATCTATGAATTCTCGAAACCGGTTCATAATACCGCCAGTATTTTCTTCTCCCACGGAACTATTTGTAGGATAAGGGCTTGACACAGTACATGTAACTTTTTCTATCATGAGTAGTTCTCTTCTCGCCAGAAGTCTAGCAACATTTAGCTGTTCAAGTAGAACAAGTCGTTGTAACTCTTGGGTTGACATGTTTTCGGTTTCTTCAGCTTCTTGCTTGAATTTTATCTCCATTGGACGCTTGTATATCATTTCTGTAGATAAGGGTGGTTGGTAACTGTGAAGTCATAGGATTGATCCATTATTTTCGGGAGTATCTGTTTTTCCGTTGTTAGTTCCAATGGAACAACCCCCAGGAACTTTAACGAACACTGGATTTTTTTCTTAATTGAGTATTTCCAAGAATTCATTTTCACACTCACGGAGTTTAATTTTTGTTCAGTTTTTTAATTTCCATATTCTTTCATGTTATTGTATCAGAAGTCTTGACAAATTAGTGTTGATCGAATGTCAATTTCATTGATTTCTTCAAAAGAACTGTATGATTCTTTAATCACCTGGCGAATGTAAGTCTCTGACAGCCAATCTGGACAGGTAATTCTTCTTCACTCTACGACCTGATTATAACAATACCTCTAAATCTTGATCGACAACATTGTACACACCGTATCAAAAAGATACTGACTTAGGGTAAAGACAAATAGAGCTGTTTTGACCGACGCGTTTATCGAATTGGTGCCCGAGTCGTATGCTGTATAATATACTAAGTGACATATAAATCCGAACACCCAGTTTAAATGGTTTTATTTTAATAAAATTTTGTATAAGTACTTAATGAAGCATAATAAGTAAATGATAAAAATTTTAAAATGATTGCACTGTTTTAAAGCCCTTTGACCTTTAATAATGTGTGGATGCACCCTGATGTGCTACGCATTCTCCAACGCGCCTAGGCATGCTTCTGATCAGGTGGTCAATGTCCTTCTGTGGTATCTCATTCCAGGCAACCACCAACTCCTCTCGTAGTGCTTCTAGAGTCTGAGGAGGACGTTGCAAATTGAGCAATCTCCTACCCATCATATCCCACACGTGCTCAATTGGGGATAAGTCGGGAGATCTTGGTGGCCATGGTAACAATGTGACATCGTTATGTTGAAAGAAGTCTATTGTGACTCTTGCAACATGTGGTCGGGCATTATCTTGTTGGAAAGTTGGATCTGCCAGGGTGTCAAGATAGGGTAAAAGATGGGGTTCTAGAACTTCGTGGATATAATGCTGCGCGTTCATGTTACCTCTGATGAAGATTAAAGGTGACCTGGAACCATAAGCTATAGCTCCCCAAACCATAACTCCAACAGTGTGATGAACACGTCTTTCAACAAAAAACTGTGGATTCCTCATTTCACCACGTCGCCTTCTAACCCTGGCACGACCATCGTGCATGCCTAAACAAAATCGAGACTCGTCACTAAAGACAATACTGTTCCATTCCTGATCCCAGAGTGACCGTTGTCTGCACCACTCAAGGCGATTACGTCGGTGTAAGGGTTAGAAGGCGACGTGGTGAAAGGAGGAATCCACAGTTTTTTGTTGAAAGACATGTTCATCACACTGTTGGAGTTATGGTTTGGGGTGCTATAGCTTATGGTTCCAGGTCACCTTTAATCTCCATCAGAGGTAACATGAACGCGCAGCGTTATATCAACGAAGTTCTAGAACCCCATCTTTTACCCTATCTTGACACCCTGGCAGATCCATCTTTCCAACAAGATAATGCCCGATCACATGTTGCAAGAGTCACAATAGACTTCTTTCAACATAACGACGTCACATTGTTACCATGGCCACCAAGATCTCCCGATTTATTCCCAATTGAGCACGTGTGGGATATGATGGGTAGGAGATTGCTCAATTTGCAACGTCCTCCTCAGACTCTAGAAGCACTTCGCGAGGAGTTGGTGGTTGCCTGGAATGGGATACCACAGAAGGACATTGACCACCTGATCAGAAGCATGCCTTGGCGCGTTGGAGAATGCGTAGCACATCAGGGTGCATCCACACATTATTAAAGGTCAAAGGGCTTTAAAGCAGTGCAATCATTTTGAAATTTTTATCATTTACTTATTATGCTTCATTAAGTACTTATACAAAATTTTATTAAAATAAAACCATTTAAACTGGGTGTTCGGATTTATATGTCATTTAGTATATATCATTCGTAGTACAAAATACACACAGCGGTACGACGCGTTTCGTTTCATGCGGCGTTTTTAAAACAGCTTCGGTTTGTAGTTGATCTGAGGAATCGAGTCGGTTTAATTCAAGTGGCGCGTTGAGTCTTTCAGCGTCATTAGATTCCTCTGTTCATACACATACGTGTTTCGACTCGTTTTGTATAGAAATGGAAGCACACAAAATTGATATTGAAAAGCTAATTATGCGAAGTAGAGAACCGACCACCACTTTGGATTATGAGGAAGATGGAATAGAGCGAATGGGTTATGAGAAGAAAATGTTGGGAGGAACTAGTAAATTTGTTTGCAAAAGAAAACAGCACAATTGAAGAAAAGAAGCAGTTAGGTAGGTATAATAATTGTTTATACATAATAAGAACAAATTAACAACATTTTTTATTGGCTATCTTTATTATTTAAACGGTTTTTTGTTTTACAAAATATTGAGCTTATTTATCTCTAGCAGATAATGCTAATGGATTTCCTCTGAGGGTTGTATCTGGTGCTAGACCTTCAAGATTGATATTTTCAAATAACTTCTCGTTATTCGACCGAGTGCTATCCCTTGTCCTTATAAAATTATGTAACACACAAGTAGCTTTAACTACAGTTACAGTTACATCAATAGCGAGGTCAATAGGTCGATAAAATATACGCTATTTGTTGGCTAGAATACCAAAACAGCATTCGATATATTTTCTGGCTCGGGTTAATCTAGCATTGAAAGTTTCTTTTAAAGGTATCAGTTGTTTACCTCCAAAAGGCCTAAGCAAATTTTCGGATAAGGGGAATGCCTCATCGCCAACTATTATGAAAGGATATTTTTCATTCGTTTCGTCAATAGCACATGGTGCAGGGACTCCCAATGTACCATCAACTAATCGTTCATAAAGTTTAGAATTTGTGAATATGCCAGCATCACTTGATTTACCATATGATCCCACTTCAATATACGTGAAGCAATAATTGGCATCGCACATCGCAAACAGTACTGTAGAACAGTACTGTTTATAATTGTAGTACATAGACCCACTATCGGGTGACTGCTTAGTCCGAATATGTTTCCCGTCTATTGCTCCTATACAGTTGGGAAACTCTGCACATGTTTGAAACCCTTTAGCAATTTCTATCCATTTCTCTGTTGAACATTGCGGTATAACTTTGACTGCTAATTCAATCCATATTGCTTCGCATACTTCTTGGATAATGTTACTAGCAGTAGATCTACCAATACGAAAATTATAATGTAATTCGGCCAAAGAGCAGCCCCTAGCCAAATATCTAAATTGAAAAAATGCAGTTAATTAAAACGTTATGTACGTAATTCTATTTTGTTACAGGTAATGAATTGCATAAAAAATTGAAAAATATCCGAGACAACTTTTCAAGAGATATTCATCAAAGGAAAGGAAAGTCAGGGGCTGGAGCTTATCGGAAAGCTCCTTACGTTTATACACAGAGATTACAATTTCTCACAGATGTAGTACTGCCCAGACAAACCACCAGTTCATTAGATAATGAATATTCATTCGAATTAGATACAAATAACCCTGAAATGCCCACTTTAATCTATAAAGAAAAGTATAATTCTAAAATTGGCAAATAAGGACACACCCGGTTGAAAAAAAAATATTACATTCACTTGAAAATTACGAAAAAAGAGCAAACAAGACGATGACTGAAGATGACAATTACCACTTTGCACTTTCCTTAGTACCTTCACTTATTGCACTGCCAAGACATTTAAATACAAAATGCAGGATTGAAATAATGCAGACTATTTCGAAATATGCAACCAGGACCGAAGCAAATCAGACATCAGATACACCACCACCTCCACATCAGCAAACGTATTCCATAACCCATTATCCCAGTCAGTCAGGACTTGTACAACATCCACAAGAGCACTATGGAGTATTTCAGAATGCCGCCAAACAACAAATAAACTCCACACTACCTCCAGCTCCTTCACCAGCTAAATCGGTTAGAAGCTATTATTCCCACTTTTCGGAAGACGATTCCCAGTTTAGTATATTTAATATGAATTGAATAAATAAACTCTTATAATGTATGAAAGATTGTGGAATACATTTTTAATAAAATGAGAAATAGTTACCTAATTTATTTGCTTACCGAATAGTTATTACTAGTTTTTCTTCTGGTGTTATCGCATTTCTCATACGTGTATCTTTCTTTGCTAGTTTTTCTCCGCAAACTGCTAATAACTCGTAAAAAGTACTTCGCGACATCCTAGTAAAGTTGAAAAACTTTTCTTCATCTCTTTGTACTTCAGCAAACAATGTATGAAAATGACCTTTTCGCTGCCTTTCTTCGATGATTGGACGTATCCACATTCTTCTATTCCTTTTTTTCTTTTTACTAATTTTCCAATACAAATACAGTAGCGATAAATGCAATACGTCATCCATTCTGCAAATCGAATGGATCACTGCATAAACCGCTGAAGAAACAGCTCAGTGTGGATTACTAGAACGCGGCCGATTCGATAAACGCGTCGGTCAAAACAGCTCTGTTTGTCTTTACCCTTATTGTGACTGTACTTTCAAGCGCAACCGATAACACCGATATCCAAGTAAATACTTATAATGCTAATAAAGACTTATAAGAAAAAATTTATATGTAGGAGATTTTTCCAGAATTAACTTTTAAGAATAAACTTATTTTTATTCAAATCAAAATGAGAAATACCTTGTACGTCTAAGTAACAATTTATCCTTATAAGATTTCACTTCCAAGGCAATTCTTTTCTTTCGCAATAGAACCAATATAACGTTTCATCTTTTGCCCGCCAGCAGAAACTTTATTTTTGAATTCTGGGACCAAAATGTATAACGGGTCATACATTGCTTTTGCCAAACCGGTTATGTCAAAAAAAAAAACAGAATTTCGTAGGTAGGCCTTGAAATTATCAGATATTCATTTGTTTCGTAAACCCAATTTAACTCAAAATCAACTTTATCTTTTACTTTATTTGAGATACAATTTGGGAATAAATGGCATGTCGTAATTGCCACTTTTGCTCCTCCACAAGGTGACCTGTTAAAACCTTTAATTTGTGGTTGCTTCTTTTGATTTCCAACACAAAATTTGTTTTTTAGATTTAAATACTACTTATAATAAATAATACCTGAATTAAATATTTGAAATTTATGGTGACAGATAAATGTACTATATTCATAACTAAATACAGAATCAAAAATTGTGTTCTATTTTACTAAAAATTTAGATGGGGAGTCTATAATAGAGAAACAAAGTTGAGGACGGAGATGGACTACAGAAACTGGTAGATGAGAAAGAGTGGTAATGCTGAAATGCTATTTATTTTGAAATCCCATTTCGAATTAGATCAGGAAACAAAACAACGATTTTTCAATAAATCCAGTACTCGTATATGACACATAGGGCTAATAATTATAAAGCCTAACTAGATTCTGTTATTCTGAAATATTTCAAGTTTGACAATGTCAATGTATAACAAACACATTATACATTTTTCAAATAAGAATTAGAATATGCGTACACCTGTGCAAAAGTGGCGTTCACTAGAAAAATAAAAGTTGATACTGGAGGACAAGAGACGAAACATCATATTGAAATTCTAATTATACCATCTTGTAGAGACGAAAAAGTGGCAAGACGTATGTGCAGTTTATTTTGAAATTCCTCTACTAATAAGGCCGGAAAAAAATTAAAACTATTTTGGAAAATTTCGGTTTTTTAGTTAGTTAACTAAATACGAAACGTTGCCTTTATTTAAGCCACTTTTACCGTTTCCGATACCATAATGGTTAGCATCGAATTTTAAATACACGGTACATGTAGAACGAGATAATTGCGCCAAGTAGGTTGACTCTGTACTTCTCACGCAACGACGTCATCAGTTCATGAAGGATTATGTTCAGCACCTTCTGAGAATCAAGTTAGTTACGAACATGTTGGACGGGTAACGTCTTCAGAAAAATAAAGTTCAGTCGGCATTTCATGTAAGAATTCAGGAAAGAAAAAATAGCTGTTTCCAAGCCGAAATCTGCACCAGAAGCGCGCAATTCAAGATGTCGGAGAAGATGGCATTCACGATATTGTTGGTCATTAAGCTACCTATCCCGCGTCCTAGAAACTTGCACCACTGAGAAAACAACGGCTTTAGGATTATTTTATATCACTGAATCCCAATCTGCTAGGCGTCAGGCTGGAATCTGGCTTGGAAGGATTTCATTGGTGACTTGAGCCTCACCTTCAAAGTGATTTGTCAACTTTTTTAACTGAAATGGCCTCGCCTCTCTGACACCTGCAATGGAACTTTATCGTAGTATACATAGTTCACGACAGATTTATAGTGTCAGTTACTGTTTTTTTTTCTGTTTTTATGACACTAACATGCTTATAGTACGTCATTATATTATATAGGTCTAAATAATGACGAAAACTAGTTCATCTGTATAAATTACATGTTCGAACATTGTATAATAATGTAAAAAGTACTAAGAGTTTGATATAATGGCTCTGGATGTAGCCAACCTAAAGTAAATCGCATAGTTTCGATATGAGCGTAGCAACAAACCAACGAATTTACGTAATTTGAGTGTGTTATAATACCCACTCAACACCACTAGCCCTCATCTCTGTCCTACGCCCCGCATCTCGACAAGCGAGCAGGTGCTTCCAGGCGAGCCGCCAGAAAAGCCTCGGTTATATTACTCTTTAATGACCGTCAATTAAAAAATGTAAACAGACACTATACGTTTGTTGTGAACTATACCTAAGTTTTTATGTGCACTTGACAATAGTAATATTTCAGAAATTGCAGAGTTAATGAGACCAGGGGTCTGCGTTAGTTCGTACTATTCTCCACGAAAACAATAACGCTATACTCTTTGGTACTACCTTTATATGGCACTAATCAATCTTACTGCTCCTTGACCTGTGCGTGTTGGTACCTCTGTGAATTTTTCAACATGGCAACAGGCATCCGCACTCGTACCCCACGCAAGAGTACCAGTCGCACGCCTGCTTGTCCCGTATGACTTATCCAATGACCTACGTAGAGTGCTACCAGGAACTATCCATGGTACTACCAGCCAGTGTGGAAATATCCGTACACAAATATACGAAGTACAATCTTAAGCCGCGTACAGACCGAAAATCCAACACCGAGCAAACGAATGCAAGCACATGTGACGTTGGCGTTTGTTGTTGGAAGGAATTGGAATGCACTCGTCTACGCTTAAATTTGGTTTCGAGTTGGCCCGCGTTGGGTTGAGTTCGGAGCTAATATCGAGCGATGATTCTCCTCTCATCGAATGCAGACAAACGACTAAATACTAGATCCGCAACAAATCCTATCCAGACCAAATTAACCTACTATATGATGTACCGATCAAGGAGCGAACGCAATCGAACGCCAACGCTACCTTGGAAACCGTTGGTTTATGTTGGCTCGCTATAAGTTTGTCGCGAATTATGGTTAAGCTACCACTTATACTTGAGAGTAATGGAATTCCATAAAATTCAGAGCTAATGAGACCAGGGCTCCGCTTTAGGGAAGGAGTTTGGTTTAGGGTACGAAAACTATATCGCTACACTCTGGTCCCACTTTGAGCCAGCACTATTAATCCCATAATTCCTTAATTTGTGCGAGTTGGTATCTCCGTGAAGTTTTCGATATGGCAACCGGCAGCTGCACTGGTATGTCACGCCACAGTACCACGCGCACACCTGCTTGGCCCGCATAACTTATCCACTGACCCACGTAGAGCGCTACCAGGAACTATCCGCGGTACTGCCAGCCAGTGTATAAATATCCGTACATAAATATACAAAGTGCAACCGTATGTTAATCGGTTTAAAGAGGCGGTGCATGTTGCGCATTACGTTTTTGCTCCTTTTTATTGCTTCATTTCAGCATTCAGACGAGGCGACAATTGTTTTCACAATCACGTTTGCTAGATGTTGCCCAACGCGAATCAAAAGATTGCTGGCAGGTAACCAAGTGCATCGTTTGAACATTTTTTTCAAATTACTCTTCCTTGATACAAGGGATAATTTAAGATTTGCATTTGACAGACTGTAAAGGTTGTCATCAAAGCCTGTCATCGATGTCAAAAAGATGTTCCTTCGCTGGCCGTATCTATTTCCCATTTTGATGATACATTAAAAACGCTTTGGTGACGTTAAAGCTTATTCAGAAATAGGAAATAGTAATACAACGTGTTCACTTTCGCGAATAGCGATTTTGTAGCAGAGCGACTAGGCTCAGTATAGGCAACCAGTACTGCATTACTGATTTTGACAGGTTGGGCGTATTATACAGCTTGAGCTTTTTTGAATGCTCTACTTACAATCTGTAGATTATTCGACGGTTTTTCATAATAATAAGTACAGTGAACCTAAAAAAATTCTCCGAAGAAGATATGAAAAACTTTCTGTTTTGCATCGGCAAAATGAACTGTTTTTGAGGAAAATATTTTTGTTTCAATATGATTCTATCAAGTTTGGCAATGGATCTAGTATACGCATTCCGCCATTTCGAAAACATAGTAATTTTAGTAACAGATTTGCAATCAGTGATCCAAAAAACCGCATGATATAATTTTTCAGATCGCTTAACGGCAATCATCTCTGTCCTTGAACAACTTTGCTCGCAAGGTGGCAGCACAAGTACCAAATGCATTATTAAATCAAGCATCTTGCGCATTGTTCTCTGAGCATGCCTATCCATCATGGCATTAGAACACATCGTTGCCAGACCTACTCACGTTTTCGATGGAACCACTCATCACAGTCGATATTCCGATAACGTTCTACAAGACATCCCTCTGTGCCCGTCCCTCTTATCCCACTCTTGGCACCAATCGAATGTGTTTATTTATACTTCAGCTAAAGCAATGGATTTCCCAAAAATTTTGCTTTTCAGACATTATTAGACAGGGTGAAAGAAATAACAGCAATGTTGCGTCCACCCCCACATTTATTCATGACCCCGTCTGATTGCTTAACTGTCAAAATTCCACTGAAGCATAGTGTTGTTCACAGGGCATCCTCAAAGTTGAGACTTTCGTTTAT